AGAGTCTAAGTACCCCGGGGTATCCACAGTCAAACGGAATGGCGGAGAGGACAATTCAATCAATAAAGCAAGTCCTGAAAAAGGCTGAAGAGACACATACAGATCCACATATAGCACTCTTAGAGTATAGAAATACACCGATAACGGATATGGGGTATTCCCCAGCAGAAATACTCATGGGAAGAAAATTAAGGACTAAGTTGCCCATAACAACAGAGATGCTAGAGCCTAAAGTAGCAGTTGGGGTGAGAGAGGACCTGAAGAAACGGCAGCGGAGACAGAAATATTATTATGATCGAGGAGCAAAACCACTCAGGCCATTGAAAGAAAATGAGAAAGTATGGGTGGAAACACGGGCAGGGTGGGCACCAGCTAGGGTCATACGCCGGTGCGAGCAACCTCGAGCATATCAGGTGGTGACAGATAATGGCCAAGTGTATATAAGAAATAGACGGAGGCTCAAAGCTCAGAAAGAGGGGGATAGTAGAGAAAATATCGAAAAAGGAGAAGAGAGGGGAATAGAGAAAAATAGTGAGGTACCAGAATATCATAGGCAACCGATATATGTTACAGCACATGGTAGATCAGTGTTTCGACCTGAAAGATATGGATTTTAAAATTTAATCATTGTTTTAAATATGTTATTACCAATTTAATCATCATTGTTATTTTAACTATGAAAGGGAGATGTGGTGTATATCTCTTTAAGATCAAGTTGTATTGTTTCTATACACCTGAAAAGGATTGAGAGAGGCACTCCTCCCTCTCTCCGTTTTTAAGCCTTCTTCCCTGCAGGTCGGGGCTTATCTTGTATTGAGGAAACTATTGAATAAACAAGGTCGTGGACCTGAACTGTGTTGTGCTTGTGAGTACGGCTGCTCCGCTATAATAAGAGACATTACACTCGCCCCCCTTTCCCCCGCCCACCCAGCGATCCGGATGGACAGGGGAAGCCCTCCAAAGCTCCCCCCCACTTCCCCCGCTCGCCGTCGGATCCAGACGGATGGGTGAAGCCCTCCAAAGCCCTCACCCACCCTGCCCCTCCCTCTATCCCACCTTCTTGCTCCACCGACGACCTCTTTGCCTTCTCTCCCTCCCTCTCTCCCGCTTTTCTTTCCTTCCTTCACCTTCTATCCCTCACTCTCCCTTCCTTTCTCCCTATCTCCCTTCATTCGTTCCTTCCCTCACTCTTTCTCCCTTCCTCCCCATCTGTTTGACTTCTTCCCCCCCTTTCATCCTCCCTCCATCTCTGCCTGTCTGTCTCTTTCTCCCCCCTTCCTTCCTTCCTTCCTTCCTTCCTTCCTTCCTTCCTTCCTTCCTTCCTTCCTTCCTTTCTCTCTCTCTCTCCCACCCCTCTTTCTTTCTTTCTTTCTTTCTTTCTTTCTTTCTTTTTCTTTCTTTCTTTCTTTCTTTCTTCCTTCCTTCCTTCCTTCCTCCCACCCTTCCTACCTTTCTAGAGCCCGTTGTCTTCATCCACAACGAGCTTTGCTCCCTAGTGCTGAATAAGGAGGGAAAAGGAAGGGGTTAAATGAAAGCGGTTAAAGCTATGCATCGCACACTATGAAGCTAAAAGGACAGATGCCTCAGTAGTATTGCCTTCCTATTCAAGAATGCAACACCATTTCTAATTGCTCACTTGGTTCAAGTAATGCCAACTTTAAAAAAAACCAAAACAGCTTATCAGTTTTCAGAGTCAAGAACAACACGGCGCCTTCATGCCACCAGAGAACAACTTTTGGCATAAGCAAATTCCATTTATTCCTTTGGAGTTGTAGTGTTGGACCCTGTCAAAAAGAACCACGCATGCGAGAGGGGGTGACTTTGCCAATTCTTTACTCCCACAGAAGCCCTCCAACCTCCACCATACACTGCTTCTGAGGGTCCTCATGTTCCCCAGAAACAGCATTTCAGGGGGCATTTTTGGGTAGCAGTGGGAGGGGGACAGGAAAGTCATGTTTCTATGTGTGCAAATTTTAGCCAGGATCCAAATACATATTGTAAACAAAAGTGAAATTGCAGTCCTTCAATATTTCAGTATCAAATACAACACAGCAGCTGGTAAGGATTACTAAATCAGACTGCCCATCACAGAATGATATAGAATGCATTACAAGAACATGGAATTCATTAAAAAAAAAAAAAAACTTCTCAGAAATAACTATGGCAATAAAAATGTAATTAATAGTTTTAATAGAAGTACAGAAATCCCTATTCAACATCCCTATTCAATATCTCCCAGAAATATATCCAAGTAATTAATTTCAACACACTCTTATCGAACCAGTTAAGCTTCAAGGTCACTGACTTGAGGCAGTATCAAAATAGTAACTGGAAACTCCTTTGCTATGCAACAGCTTCATATTGGCCTGAACGCCAAGTTAGCCAATAATTCTGAGGTAAACTATACCTTACCTTCAGTTTCTCCTTCCATAAAGTTTCTCCTGTTAAGATTTCTTTCTTGTATTTCCCTAACTCCATTGCCCAGGAACAGAAAAATTCAGGTCCCCTAAGGAAGTTCCTTACACGTTAGACACCACCACTGTATCAGGCTCAAGTTGTGAGGCAGAACTGTATCAGACTGTCTGGGTGATAATTTCTTGTTAGCTGAGGTTTCCATTTATAGACTTAGAAAATTCACAAATAGAACCTGGCGGGAAGGCAAGCAACTGGCTACAGATAATAAATACCAGCTTAGCATCAAATATATTAATTAATATGTACTGTATCACAACAAAATTACTATTACCTGGAACTCATAGAATAAGCTCTGATGCCTGAAGACCCTGGAAATATAACTGAATTTTGGAGAACAGGTCACAGTTAAGCAAATGCAGACTCATAGCACCTCTCACACTAATCCTTGTTGTTGCTGTCATGCATGGCTACAATCCAGAGGGGCATCATGCAATCATGTTTTGCTTTGTTTTCCTTCTAGAAGTTGCTTCATTAGAATCACACACACACACACACACACACACCCTCGCTTCTCTCTAAGCTCCCTCATGCTCAAAAAGTAGTTTAAAGATTCGGTACAAATGATTATGAAGAGAACAGAATGAAAATGTCATTCACATTTAAATACCTTGTGAATCAAATACTAAAGCTGCTAACTTGCAGATTTGAACAGTTTGGGAGGCATCTCTGACTGCACATTCTGAACCACAGAATGGAGTTCCCAGCCTCCCGGCGAAGCCGGTGAAGTCCGGGGGCTCCCCCCCCCCGGAGGAGCCAGGGCAGCAACAGAATCATGACGCACGGCGTCATGACGTGTGTGGGGTGGGCGGAGCTGGCATGGCTAAAGCGCCGGGCTCCACTCCTGCCTAACAGTCGCTGACTCGTGCTCGCCCACCCTCCCGCCCTGTTCTTAGTGCAAGCTTTTGCTGGTCGCCTACTGGGGCCGGGTAGGAATTTTTCCCTTCTACCCAGAATTGGCAGAATGGGTGGAGGTGTTTTCGCCTACCCTGCACTGGGAGCAGTGGATTAAAGTGATGGATGGGGTGGTCAGCAGTTAAGTAGGTTGGTCACTTGGCAGGTTGGTGCGGGCAAGAAACCAGAACCGGTGAGCACCTGATGTCAATTTCCCCATTAGGGAACAGGGGGTCATCAGGAACTGCCTTCGGATTTTCAGGTCCAGGGTGGGGAATGGTGATCACCTCCTCTGGGAACCTCTTAGGGTATGCTCCTCTCTGCAAGTTGTCAGGCTTCAGGGGTAGGCGCTTCTAGGTGGCGACCAGTTTGCTGGGCTACTGGTCACAAGCCAGACAGCTGGCTCAAGACCTGAGCTGGGTGACCCGCCCGAGGATAGCCAATCAGCAATAGATCAGAGGGAAATTAAAGAATTCCTTGAAAAGTATAACACAAAGAAATTCAACGAAGAACAAAGAAAAATCCTAAATGAACCATTCACAACTTGTGATATTGTAGAGGCGATTAAAAAACAAAAGAAAAAGAAAACTCCAGGACCAGACGGCATTCCGGCAGAAGTTTATCAAAAATTAGAGCATGAAATAAACCCGATATTTAAAGATATGATTCAAAATGCGATGAAAACAGGAGATCTACCCACATCATGGAATGAAGCATTAATATCTCTAATTCCTAAACCAAAGACAGAAGTAAATGAGATAAAAAACTATAGGCCTATATCGCTCCTAAACGCAGATTACAAGATATTCGCAACAATATTAGCAACAAGATTTAAAAAAGTATTAACACAAGTAATAAACAGAGACCAATCAGGTTTCCTACCAAAACGTCAAATAAAGAATAACTTAATAGTGGATATAATAGAGTATTATGAACAATATCCAGGAAGTCAAATGGCA